TTTTAAAAAGTATTCCGATACCACGAGGATAGAGCGTAAATTTTAGTGAAAGCAATACAGACAGTGCATGATATAAGTACTTGTGCCGAGGTTCAGAACATAAATCGAACAATCGACTTGGCAGAAACGGATTTCGATCGTCTCCGCTATCTGCTTACCAGTTCAAGTGTACCAGGTATCTCTAGTGAACCTCACCTGGACTGGAGGAAGGCCAAGCGGTGCAACAGCCCTGACGTAACATCGTGAAAACGAACACAAATCTTAACCAGCTATCCCCCATTCCATCGTTCCGGTTTCTGTTTTACACAACAATGGTAATTTGCCCGTTTGCAAGGACCAAAGTAAGCGCAACTAACAATAAACATTCAAACAGAACGATCACACATCACAACACTGTACACACACGTCTCCCAGTGCACTCACCTCATGACAATCGGACATTCGAAGATTGATGGCGTGATTGAGAATCTCGATAAACAGCTGTGCACGAACTGTTTTGTCCATGAAATCATTGGCCAGGCGCGCGGCCCGATCGAGACAGGCAACGGCCGCTTTACCGTCACGTAGCTGGAAAGAAAATAAAATGAAAGCTGGATGAGAAATCACGTAAATGCAATATGTCGAGGCTGGATCCCTTCGAGGGGAAAAATTATGCTTTTAAATTTGGTGGATGATAAAGGAGCTACGGACGATGCTGCTCACAGCAGAACCATTGCTAAATTTCAATCACACCGGTGAGTGAATGTCTGGTTGAGATCCAGGATGTGTTTGGAGCATGTGAGAAAGCAGAATTCAGAACAGTTGAATCACAGTGGCAAGTTAGGCAAGTGATGTCAAAGACCACGACACTCTTTACCCTTACTCGTTTAGTGATAAAGAGCGAAAGGAGATTGTAAGTGAACAGAATGTAGCGCAGTGTACGGTAAGAGTGGTACTAGAAAGAATCGAGTTGAGGGAGCCAATGAATTCGGACGAAAAGTGGAGTACATTAGAATTACTTCAACGACCGATTTGTTCAAGTTACACTTGTCAAAAGTCATGGGGGCTGTTGTGGCAGATCTGTTGATGGAATATCTGGAGAAGCATGAGCTTCTGTCTCCAACTCCGCACGGATTTCGGTACAAGCGTTTGTGCACCACAAACCTACTCCTTGCACGGGATGAGTGGACAAAACCCGTCGATGCAGGCCAGTCATTGGATATAGTTTATTTGGACTTCTCCAAGACATTTGATCGAGTAAACCACCAAATTCTACTGCGAAAACTCTACAACTACGGAGTAAGAGGTTTCGTTCTGGACTGGATCAAGGAATTTCTCCGCAAAGGACCATGTCAGTTCGGGTTGGTGAGTCATTATCATAGTCTATCACCGCTACCCGGGGGGTTTCTCAAGGATCCGTACTGGAGCCTCGTCTTTTTCTTGCATTTATAAACGACCTGCCACGTCCTTGGGCCTACTAGACTACTATTTGCGGACGACGCTAAGATCTGGAGAACTGTAACACATC